TAAATTTTGGATATAAAATTATAGTAATTTTAGAAGGAGAGGTTCAAATTTTTGGTAACTTATTTAGTAAAATTTTTTTAAATGGAATAGTAAAAAGTAAATAGTAAATAGTAAAAAGTAAATAGTAAAAATAAATTTTCAGCATTAAGATTCCTTAGCATGGAAGAAAGTAGTAGGTAGAAATTAGGATCAGATTTGGTGAGAAAATGATTGAAATATTATTTTTAAATAATATTAAAATAATAAATAATATTAAAATATTAATGAATAGTAAATTTTTTTTTACTATAAATAGCCATGGGAGGGAAGGGTATTTTGCACCAAGAAAAGAGGAATCAAGTGAGAGCTTGAGAAATAGAGAAGAAAGAGTTAGGGAGAAATTTTTAGTTGCAAGAAGAGTAGAGGTTCTGAAGGGTTTCGGGGAAACAAATTCGGAGCAGGAGATTAAGTCTGGAATAGAGGTAGGGGAGCTAATCCTTCTTGTATATGATTTTTTTATCCATGTTATGATAATGAATATGAGTTATGAGTATGTTAAAATTTTGGTAATGGTAGTTATCTATTCACTTATATAAATTTAGTTTTCATTATTATAATTTCTTATTTTCGAGTTACTGTTGTGAAAATTTTCTATTAATTGTTTTCACCGTTGGATTTAGCTAAAATTTTAGTATGTGAATCCTAAGACCTATTACTAAACTTTGACCGTTCGGATTTGAAAATAGAAGTCTGTACTTGGAGAAATAAATACTGCAAGTTTGAGTAAATTAGTCACCCTGTAGTTCTGTTACTAAGTTGTCTCGGTAAAAATATAGATTTTGACCTATTTAACCGTTAGATCAACCTCAAAATTTGATATATGATTCTTAGGACATATTAATACAATTTGACCGATCGGATTTGTAATTGAAGGTCTATGTTTAGAGAAAGAAATTTCGAAAGTGTGAAACAATCGGATGAACACTGTATTGTTGTTCTTAAGCTATCATGGTACAAATTTCATATATATTTCATCTACCGTTAGATTGAGCCCAAAATTTAGTATGTAATTCATAAGACATATTAAGTCATTTTGACCGTTCAGATTTGTAATTAAATGTCTGTGATTAGGGAAATTAGTTTCGCATTTTGAGTATAACCGAAAACCACTTAAAATTCTGCACCTGAGTTACCTCGGTAAAACCTCAATATCTATCTAGTTAACCGTTGGATCAACCTGAAATTTTAATATGTAGTTTATAACAAATAGTGAATTATTGTGACCAATCAGATTTGAAATCGGAGTTACAGATTTAGAGATATTAATTTCGTATCTTCTCAGGGATCTTAATATTGCTTAATTTCTATTTTTTGATATCTATATTAAATTTCGGTGTTAATATTATATGCTGTTGTTTTAAATCTGTAAATAAGAAATTTGTTAAAAACTAGTTGAGGAACGCTTTGGCTAAGGAAAGATTTGGTACTTAAGTTGTCCATTGTGACGCACCTCTCTTTCCTGGAAGTCTACTCGACAAGTTTTTAACTTAAATCCTATTGAACAGATTTTGTACTGTTAAATTATTATGCAATATATGTTGTTGGAATGAAAATGTTTGATTAATTCATGTTATTGTGGTAGATATGAAATTATGAATTATAATTGTGATTTATGCGATAATTGTATTTTATTATACTGCATTTGAATTTATGCATCTGAACATGTTATGAGTAGTATGGGGAGATTTTGTAGGGGTATAATGTGAGTTGAGGAATATTAGTATGGTATGAGTCTTGTGGAGAGATTAAGTAAATGTTATGGTATTTGTGTATATGTTGATGTTGAGGGTCCCGTAGTTGGAGGTTATCCTGATACTCTAATAATCATCTATTCTCAAGTAGAGAGGGATGAATTATGTGGTGAGAGGAGCAGGAGGTCCTGGTCTATGTGCCGGTTTTGGACATAGTGAGGGGATTAACCTTGTGAATGGTATGAAGTATTTTGAAAGTGTATTTGTATATAAAAAAAAAAGAGAGAAAGAAAAAAAAAAAAAAAAGTAGAAGTCATTACAAGTGCATAACCTCCCGTGACCGCTCATCAACTTATCATCCGGATGAGTGTCTATTGGGTATTGTGGTGTCTATTGGGTATTGTGAGACGAGTGTCTAATAGGAATTGTGGTATGAGAGTGTCGAACATAATTATTATATGATGTTTATATCAAGGTAATTATATATGTTTTATAAATGATTTGTTGCATGTTAGCTCACCCTACTTGTTTGTGTTTGTTTTGTTTGGGTATGTGCGATGATCGTATAATTCGTTATACGGGAGCAGATGAAGGAATGTCGTCTGAAACAATACCAAGGAAGAAAGAGATCGAAGAATAAGTTAGAAGAATTCAAGTTATATTTAGGAGTTTATAGTTGAAATCTGAGTTTAAAATATATCAACGGTGAATTTTTAAGTGTGAGATTACGGGATGTTACCGTAAATGTAATGTTACAATATATAAATTATGAATTATCCAGCGTGAGATATTGGGATGTTACAAACATGTCCAACAGACAACAAATATCCTTACGATAAACTCTAACATAACTCTTATACCATGTTAAGAAGTAGACTTTAAGCTGGATTTATGGAGTTAAGTTAAGTTTCAAATCCACTTCTTAACAATAACAAGAACAAATAACAAGAACATGATCCTTCTAAAAATGAAGAGTGCATTAATTGAATTATTACTGGTTTCAATGGTTAAAAGAGTAATGATAACATAATAATAAAAAAGTGATAATAATTATAATAAGTTATAATAAATATATTATCAAAACTATAGTTTAAATTATTTTTTGTTTTAAAAATAAATGTTACTGTTCCAAAATAAAAAATTATATTAAAATTAATAAATTAAATAAAAAATTTATATTTCAATCTATTTTAAACAATTGTATCTAGGAACATTTTAGATATTTTACACAGTTTGATTGAATTGAATACAAAATGGGTGGTTTAGTTCACACTTTTTGAACAATCCTAATTAAAAAAAAAAGGATATTTTGTGTATATATATAAATTATTTTAGTTTAATTAATCATTTTGAGTTTGGATTTTGGAAATGAAACTCTAGAAAAACCCAAATACCTTATCAATAGAAAAAGAAAAACTTGGTCCATAAGCAATTGTTGTTTAAACATTGACTTATTTTGTCCAAATTTCATGGGAGTTTTAGTAAGAAAATCAAATTGTTAGTTATTATTTGACATGAATCAAATGAGGCATTTACTAATTTTGAAAGAAGGGTATGAAGAAAAAGAGAGAGGGGTTTTCTTTTATGGAGAAAACATATTCTCTTAAGTAATTATTGAGGGAGTTCAAAGTCGGCCAAACCAAAGCTAGTGTTAATTAATAATAATGATGGGCCCTCCTCATTCCCAAAGTTTTCAACCCAATCACGCTTGGACACCTTTTTATGGTAAATTTTCCTTCTTCTGCTTCAGCATACTCATAGTTTTTGACACTTAGTACATGACAACAACCGTTGGTTTCGTCAATTTGTTGTGCTCACTCTAATCTTATACCCATTCTCAGAGTGCTCAATTGGTAACCACTGCCTCCAAAACTCTACCTTCCTTTCATGCTTCGACCACTGCAGTGGGACAAATTATGCTCCTGTTTGAAAATTCATGTCTTTTTCCCACTGCATGCAAGCATGGATTGAATGAATGTTCATGCCAGAGCATACCATCCACTAAGCACCACATTTTCCCACACTTGTCATCTACTCATGGCTTCTTTCCACTAATTCAAACTACCCTTCTTTTGTCATTGTTTTATGTTGAACATTGACTAATTTGAAGAGATTTATAATATGTAAACAGGTACAATCCAATTTTGTAAGATCAAATAACACTTAAATCTATTTCTTTTCATAATATGAGGATCATTTGAAACTTATACTAACGAGCATATTGTATCACTTATTATCAAAATATTTATTGTTTACTGAATCTATTATACCATCCATTAATATACATCCTTATGCTTGAAATGTATATATTTCAATGTTTCTGCATCCACTAGAAATAACATAGATTTACCGTGGGTGTAAAGTTCAATTTTGTAAGTTGGTTTTGCAGAGTTAACTAATGTCTACATCTTAATAATGGATGTTTGTACATAATTTATCAGTGAAATTTAACAAGAGTGAAATATGAATAAAATTCAAACATGACCTTATTTTATTCTTGATTCCAAAAACTTTAATAGTATAGCATCACAGTCAGACTAGATGGTTGTAGAGGGTAAGGTACATAGGAGAAACATCTGACATAATTTTGTATCTAACACTCAAACTGAGGTCAGTGGTTGAACTAAAAGATGGAAATGGTTTTGAATTTAAGGAATTGTGTGCTGTAAAATATAATATCTAATTACCCATCTAAAGCTATACTGATTTGATGGACTCAAAGTTGTTGATCCAGACAAAGTGGCAGTGACTAGCACCATCACAAGTTGGTCCAACTCCTACTCAATCACAGGCCCTTCTAACCAAATGATCAAACTTTTGCGGGGACAAAATAGTGAATATCCACTATAGGACTTTCACTTGAATGATGCCTAACATCAAACTTTTTGACAGATTGAATCATTAGTGTCAACAAAGAAAAAGGCAAAACCACCCATACGTTAAGCCCTTTAAGTTAGGAAAGGGGAGAGGGATCAATCACCAAATACATCAACTCCTGCTCTCTGAGTACTCTTCCATACACAACATTTTGGACTTTAAAATTTAATCAAATTCGCTTCACAACCATCTCATTTAACTTAACTTAACCACATTGCTTGGTTACACTTGTTTCTCAACAAGCATCATCAGCACCAACAATTGTGGCTAATGTGCCACTCTAAAGGTTCATTAATTCTGAAATCCCATGATTAATTAGTAATGTGCCATATATTTTGGAAGAGCAGGGCTAAAGAAGAATTACAAAAGGAAAAAAAGAAAAAAAGAAAAGCAATTGGCCACATCATTGAAATCTCCCTTTAAAAGATGGCCACAACTTCACTAACAAGCTAGAAAGGCTTCATCCAACTGAAACAAACAAAAAAATGGATGTAGAGAAAGCCTTCCACATGACTGGAGGAGTTGGCAAAACTAGCTATGCCAAGAATTCCTCACTGCAGGTTCTTTCTTTCTTTCTTTCCTTCTCTCATCTAAATCCATCAGTTTCTCGTTCCTGCTACGATTGAATTCTCTGATTATACTCACCTGCTTTAATCTTGTTCCTGCAGAAGAAGGCATCTGATAAGGCGAAGCACATAATCATACAAACAGTTGAGGAGCTTTACCTTGCAACAACTCCCATGAGCATAGGCATTGCTGATTTGGGTTGTTCCTCTGGACCAAACACCCTTTCAATCATCAAAGATATCTTTCAGACCATCCAAGGCATAAGCCACAAGATCATGCACCACTCCACTGAGTTCAGGGTCTACTTCAATGATCTCCCAACAAATGACTTCAATTCAATTTTCAAGGCCCTGCCAGAGTTCCACAAGTTGCTTAGGCAAGACAGGAAAAATGGCCTCCCTTCCATTTTCATGGGAGGCTACCCTGGCTCATTCTATGGAAGATTATTCCCAAACAGTTACTTGCACTTTGTCCATTCCTCCCACAGTCTACACTGGCTTTCAAGGGTACCATACACCTTCCCCTTCCTCCACATGCTCATCATCTTATACTGTTATATTTACCCATCTTTACAACCATACTGTTGTTTTCTTCACACAAGTGTTTGTATGATAAGGTAATAAGTGATATGATGTGATTGATAACAAGAAAGAGACAGTTATACTGTTTGGATGTCCATGTTTCATTCTTGTACCTGGGAACATACTTAGGAGTAGTTATTTCTGGTTTGTGTCATGCAGGTTCCTCCAGCACTCTATGATGAGCACAAAACACCATTGAACAAAGGTTGTGTTTATATCTGTGAGTCAAGCCCTTCTGTGGTGTCTCAAGCATACTCTCTTCAATTCCAAGAAGATTTTTCCTTGTTCCTTCGGTCAAGGTCCGAAGAACTGGTAGTTGGTGGGAGAATGGTTCTGATATTTCTGGGAAGAAGGGGCCCAGAACATGTTGACAGAGGCAACTCTTTCTTTTGGGAGATTCTTTCCCGTTCATTTGCTACTCTAGTCTCACAGGTACGTTTATAGAGGAGACACAAGCATCATCATTATCTCATTATCATTGTTATTGTTGCTGTTATAGCTGACAAATTGGAATTCAACATACAAGGACAAAATAAAGTTGAAAACTTGTAACTTCCCTCTTAATTACTGAAGCAAAAAACTACAGTCTCTTTAGGTGCAAACTGATTCAGATGCTACTTATGCAGAAGTTCTGTAATGTCACCCTTTGCTAATTTTATCAGCTTATTTGACAACTGACATCATCTTTCAATGATTTATCGATTGCTATATTTGGTTGTTAGTGGTTAACTTGAGCTAATCAGAATTAGCTGGCTTGACATTAGAGTCAATGAAACGATTTTGGTTGGAATTTTATTGGCGAACCTGCATTATCAAGTTGTCAGTTTTATCATCAGCTCTTTTCTCATAAAGAAAAAAGGTTTAAAAGTTCATGGAATATATAAAACTAGAGTTGTTATTAATCAGTCTAAAACTGAACTTGTGTTATTTTGTTTTTCATACAAATTATTCCAGCATGGTAAAATTGTACATGAACTACTCGGTAAGACAATTTAGTAAACATAAATACTTTTGACCAATATGATATACTTTTGGAAGTGATTTTAAGAATCAAATAATATCATTAACATTCCACACATACCTAGGATATGTTTTTTGAGGTGTATAAAATCAAGGACTTTGCTTTTTTGTTAAAATAGAACTGTATGGATAACAATGAATGCACTTTACTCTTTCTCTTTTCTGGTTCAAATTCTGACCTACTCCAAAAAAGGTATATATGGATAACTATGAATGAATGAATGAGTTGTTTTGTCACCTTTTTCTTGATTTTTGGTTTTTGATTTGCAGGGAGAAATAGAGCAAGATGTGTTTGATTCATATGATGTACATTTCTATGCACCATCAAAGGAAGAGATAGAAGAAGAGGTAAAGAAAGAAGGGTCATTGAAGTTGGAGAGGCTAGAGATGTTTGAGATGGACAAAGTTGAAGATAGCAGTGAGAGCTATGGAACACAGGTTGCTGTAGCAGTTAGGGCCATTCAAGAATCGATGATCTCTCACCATTTTGGAGAGAGAATCTTGGACAGTTTGTTTGAAAACTATGCAAGATTGATAGATGAAGAAATGGCTAAGGAGGATATTAGACCAATCTCTTTTGTTCTGGTTCTCAGAAAAATATAATTGATTCAACTAAACAACAAAATTAATCTTCTATTAAGGTTATTAATTATTTATTTTGGTTTGCAGTAATGAGACGTGTTTAAATTGCAGCCATTTGCATCACTGTAATCATGATTAGTTCAATGTAAAGTCTTGCTGTTTCACTTTCCTTCATTTATGTATACTTTTCCAACTGGGGTGATATATTTCAAGGTTTTTTTTCATCATACAGTGTTAATATTAATGATGAGTTTGAAAATGCAATATGTATGGGACCTCCAAAAAATGAGGAAGAGACATTCTTTTATAAAAACAAATTAATTAATATAGTTGCTTTTAAAAAATAATTGTTTCTGACGTTGGATTAAAATTTCTTAATATATAAATGATATCAAGAATTTTATGAACATAGTATAACCTATTTTACATTCAATAATATTACAAGGTAATTTAACTGAATTTTATACATTAAAAAAATAGTTGTGTATTTTATATCATTTAATGTTATATTTGCACGTGTAGAGTTGGCTCGTGTAGGGTTCATATTTTCACGTACGTTCTTACTTTCATTAGTTGTTAAATTGAGTTTTGTTATAATTATATATTTTTTATGTTTAGCACTTTATAGATAATGTATAAACCTAATGACTTTTACATTTCTTTATTTAATTGTACTGTCTTGTATTAATAATAGTTGTTTAAACAATATTGGATATTATGCACATGCAAATATAATATAATGTATAAACATATGTATTTTAAACAATTATTCATATTCTTGATATTTTTTATTAAAAACATTTTATATCAAATAAATATATTATTTTAACTTATTCTGGTAATATTTTTTTGGAAGAAATATGTATCATATCATATGCCAAGATATTAACTTGGACGTTGGTTAAATCACACATTAAGGTTTTTCTTTTTCTTTTTTATTTATAAAAGCTAACATTTGCATTATTATGAAAAATGGACATTGCAACAAACTTGTCATCTCAAATTTCAACCATCATTTATGGCATGTTACCATATAAGTAGAAGAGATTTTCTAGATATTTTCAGGCAACTGATTAGAATTTAAGAAAACTTTCATAATAAAGAATAAATTATTGACATATGTTTAATTTTTATTATGAAAAAGAAAATTATTACTAACATGAAGTTTGAGAAGTTAGTTCTTACCAAATTTCCTTGCATTTTTTTATATTAAGACAAAAATTTGTATCCAAGACACTAAATTTATATCTAACATGAAAATAATATATATATATATATATATATATATATATATATATATAAATAACGTGATGATATTTTTATAAACAAATAAATAATATTTATGTCTCACTTGTAAGATGAGATGTAAAAAATCTTTTTTATCTCTGACTCTTATAGGTTAGATCTATATCTATTTTAAATTTAAATAGTGACATTTTTTTTCACCCTCCTTACACGAAAACGTTAGTTTCTTTTCTAGTAAACGAAAAGAATGTTTTTTTTTTCTGCGCATTGGAGCTTCCACTGGTGCCCAAAAGAAGGTTTTTTTTTTTTTATTTCTCGTGTATGTTTTCTAAGGAAAAAAATTTCTCTCTGATTATTTTGCTGCATCCGAGATTAGTTTCAAACACTTTTACTTTTAGACTATATATGCATGACTATTATTAGGAGAACTCAGTCATGATTATGAACGAATGTCCCCTTTATTTGTCTTGAATATAAGTTTTATGATTTAGAGTTTAGACTTTGTTAAAATTGATATATTTTCTAAAACTATTACTAAATGGTTAAACTTTAATAATTTGTATTAAATCTTAAATTGTTTGATTGGAAACTTTCAAAAAATTATTTTTCATAATTTGTTAACATGTGTACATTGTGAATTTATGCATAAATTTGATAAAATATTGGTTAAGACCATTTTGTGTTGTTCTCCAAACACATACTTGAATGTGATAATAATACTTTCATTTCGTGTACTTTGGATATCGATGCAAAATCTTTCAAAAATGTTCTTAAATTATATATGATGATAGATTTCTTTGTATATGTGCTAGTGAATTATGGAAATTGATTTTTCAAATGAGTAGGGTCTCACCTTGCAAAAGTTCAAAAGTAAGCATAATGGAGTTTGTAATCAATGTTGCGCAAGCTCGTAGCTAAGGGACCAACCACAAGAGTCATGGTCACTCACATGATTTCCGAGCTCTAGCTCACATTTCACTACAAAAAAGCTTTATTTAGTGGAGGTTTATTTTTCAATTTGCGGAGGTTGTTACCCTCTGCAAATTAATTTGTGTGGATTTTTCATGATCCCTAGTATCGAATTTATATTGTAGATGTTTTTGTGTGGAGGGTTTTAACCTTTTCTAACCGTGACTTTTATTTTATGGAGGTTTGAAGCCTCATTTATTTATAATTATCCAACATTCATAATTTCTTAATTTAATGATCTTTTTTATAAATAAAAAATAAATAAAATATATAAAATTGTAAAATACACAATAATTAATCAAAATTAATTTATTGATGATTTAAGATAAAATACATTCATTGACAATAATGTAAATATATAAAAGTACATAATATTTAAGCAACATTGAAAAAATTGACTAAAAAAAATCTAACATGACCAAAAACAATCAAGCCTATATATACTAATGTTAATGACCTGAACACAATCTTTAACTGAGATAAAAGTTTAACACTAGAGCAATAACTTTGCGTTTTCTTCTTATCGTGCCAAGTAAAACAACTTCATTTCTTCAACTACTTTCCTTAAACTCATTCCTCTACCACTACTCTTTTTTAGATTTCGAATCATTCAAAATCGTAAAAGGAGCACTTTCAGAACTTCACTCCCTTGTAGTCATTAAGGAGGATACAACCATGACAATATCATTAATGAATTTGCTACAAAAATACATAAAAAAAGATTAAAGAATTTTCATATTTTCTAAACACATAAAGATTTAGTTTAATATAAATTACCATCCAGTTTAATAAACATTTGCTAAATAAGTAAACATGGGAGAAAAATCATAAGTGATATATTTCATTGTAACTATGACAATTAAGCTTCATCGAAGTTTATCCATAGCTCATGACAGTTTGCATTATTTAGAGATGAAAATCAATAAGGCACGTGTAAATGAGATGAAAATCATCGAACCTGGACTAGATGCGTTGTCTAAGGATGTCAAGAGTGACAGATAATACCCAACCAGGAATGGGTAAACTCGGTCTAGAGAGTTGTCTAGGGATATATCCTAGAGATGTTAAACTCAAACTAGACATGTTGTCTAAGGGTCATAGGAGTGGTAGATAATACTCAAATAGGACTAGGTTATACTTGTGACCAGGAGTGGTGTAATAATACTTGCAAATAGGGATTGCAAAAAATTTCGCGTCCGAAAGTATCCACGGATAAAATTCGTAACGGATAGTTGGTATCCGCGGGTTGCAGGTAGCGAACATTTTAATATCCACTTATAAATGGGTCGGATGCGGGTATTATATTATCCATACCCACAAGTATCTGCTACCCGCAAAAAATAAAAATAAAAATTTAATTTATATTTTATTAAGTTAAGTTTAATTAAAATTAAAATTAATTTATATTTTATAATATTAAATTTAATTAAAATTAAATTTTAGTTTATATTTTATATATTTTTATAATTTTATTTATATTTTTTTAATAATTTATAAAAATATGTTTCTTAATATTTATGGGTTTGCGTGTACCTCTGGGTATCCGTGGGTTTTAAAATATCCGCGGATATTTTTTAAATGGGTATCCGTGTGAGTAGCATATGGGTAGCGGGTAAAATTTTTTTGAGGGTCGAGTAGCGAGTAGGCACTATTTGTGCCCGACTCGACCCTTTGTCATCCCTACTTGCAACCAAAGAGTGGATTAAAGTCATGTAATCTTTAAAAGATTAATGGAACCTCTTAAGAGTTCTTAAGAGAGAACTAGATGTAGCTCAAGTTTGAGTGAACCAGTATAAAAATTGTGCCTTAATGTTTTCTTCTTTTAAAACTATTGTTAAATTTCCTATGTCATCGTCTAAAAGAATTCTTATATGTTTATCTTGTAAACTCAACGTCTAAACATAGAACATTTGTATACTCTTACCACAAGTTATTAGACGTTGTTTTGTGAAAATATTTGAAAACACTATTCACCTCTCTCCCCTCAAGGGTTTTACTATGTACTTCAATTATCTACATAGATAAAGAGAGAAAAAGCAAAGTAGGCAGAGGTATAGTACATTCATCCATTCAATGTTCTTATGTTAAGAGAGTGTTTAAGCATGATTTGTAATATAAGCGTTTAGCGCAAGTCTATGTTTTTCAAAGTAATATCTTAGTTGATAAGATACATAGTGTTTATTATTTCTTTCTTTAGATGCACTTTTGTCAAATATTTTTTAATGTTTTATAATTGGCATGTCATTGTTTATCTTTGTTATGTTTAACAAAGATGTTCTAATATGCACTTTGCTTAGACGTTTTACTTCACTAAACGATATTTCGTTAAGTGTTGTATGTTAAACTTTAAAACTTGAGTTGTTAAATCAATTCTTAAAGAGAAAGAAAAGAGAAAATACTCTAAGAACAAAGAGTTAAATCTATTTTTGTATAGAGTGCTATTGGGTTGAGTGATAACCATTGTATAATATCCTTCATATAGTGAAGTATGCAATGGGACAATGATTGTATTATCCTATGTTAGAGATTATTTTGATCATTGTAATTGTAAATTCTTTATATAAGAGGACAAATGAGAAGGATACTTGGAGAGGTTAAACTCCTTGTAATCTGAAAAGGTTTATACTTATTTTTTCTAAAGAGAGTTAAACTCATGATACATAGAGAGGTAAATAATGATGAAAATCCCCCAGCGTAAATACATCGAACTCCCTTATTGTGCTTGGATGAAGTTTTTATGGTTGTTTTTAAGCTTTTCTTGGTTTTGATAAGGTTATAGCAGTAGAGTTGCTCATTGTTATTGGTATTGTTATTTTCATGGTTTGGAGTTAATGAATAAGAGAAACAAAAGATATTTTGGAATTTTTTAATGCAGTATGCAAATGTCAGATTCTTACAATTAAGTGGAAAACACTGTGGTCACCTTACATTTTTAAAATTTCTTTTTAACAGTGCTATATAGATTCTTCATCTTAAGAACTTATATTAGT